ATGTACATGTATCCTTTTTAAGAGCAGCGCAAAGCGCTTACTGTTATCCTAAATCTACTTCCGTTAGCGATCCAGCGCCACTAAGCAAGTTAGATAACTCCATTGGGTTTTCTAAAAATATGCAACTAGAAATCCCCGACTCTCTTTCGGCTATTTTAGTGTAATACTGAGTTACGTGCAGTTCTAATTATAGGAGTCAATTAGTAAGGTAAAAAAATGCATGTACATTGTACGAAAATCCACTGTTAGTAGATAAGGACGGTTCTTGTCATGCTTACCTCTATACATATTGTAGTTCATTGAAAATCGTGTCGGCACTCATCACTTGTATACCATGTAGCTAACAATAGGTTCCGCCCGTGCATTTTAGGTCGAACGGTGGCTCCACTGTTTTATAAGTGCTTACGGAAACGCTTTGTCTTGATGGCGCTTGAATGTTTTCATGTGACGCGTACCTAAATAATAACGAAAGACTTCAAAGATTTCATTACAACGAAATATGCCACAGTATTGTTGCGTTCCTGGCTGGAAAAATACGGGTGGACATCGTTTTCCATCAGGTACCACACTAAATTTGAAATGGCGAGTTGCCATTAAACGAATGGACGAAAGAAAGCGTCTATGGAAACCTTGAAAGTTCGACGTTGTGTGTTACGCCCACTTTCTCGCCAGTGATTACAAGACAACGCTGTTAGGTTAGTCATGGTATTAATTATATGTTCATAGATCTAAGTTTTTGTTCAAATTTTATTTGTTTTGTATTTCCATGATTGTTATTTTTGAACAAAGCAAAGCAATTTCTGTTCGTGTTGCTTTGTGATTTGTTTTCCATTTCCCAGGTACGTCGTGTTAAAACAGGCATTCAAGCAAGGATGATGAAGATGAAGTGGATAAAATTATTCAGGAGTATTTTAGTTCCATTGTATATGTTATATATTAATATATGAATTTTCATAAGCTTTAAAATTATTATTATAATAAACATGATAACTCAATATAATAATTTATATTAAAGACCTTATTAATGATTTTTTTTTCTTTCTAATTTGTTTTTGCGTGGTTATTGATGACAACATCCAAGACCATACTATATAGATATTCAATTATATTAAAATTGCATTCAAAATTTCAAACTATTTCCCCATCTTTTGAATTAATTTCATTCTATCTTTTTTTAATAAGGTGACAGGTCATGACTAAAGGAAGATGCTGTTCCTTCAATTTTTACATTTAATGCAAGTGAGGAAGAGTCCCCAAGAGAAAAACGATTTAAGAAAAGGCACATACAGCCAGAAATTCAATTCCAGGTGTTTGACTGTCAGCAAGAAATAGAGTTTGAAAATGAACCAGAACTTCTTGTTGACTGTGATGAATTTCAAAACAAGTGCCTGCATTGCAACACCAAGGTATACAGTGTGAAATTCCAACATTCGGAAAATTATCTGTTGAAAGTATAATGAATAATGATAAAGTCATTAAATACTACACTTGGTTTCAAGATTACAACCACTTTATGATGTTTATTTACTGCCTCGAACCTAGTGCATATGAGCTCACATACCAGTGTTCATTACTTCATCCAAAAGACCAGTTGTTCATGACTTATCAAACTTCGACAAGACAAAGAAGATGTTGAATTGTCATTGCTTTTTAATGTGTCAGAGTCCACAGTATCAAGAATAATTATTACATGGATAAACTTTATGTATTTTCAGTTAAAAGAGCTAATTATTTGGCCATCTCCAGCAGTCGTCCATGAACACATGCCTCAAGACTTTAAATCAAAATTCCCTAACACCAGAGTTATACTAGATGCCACTGAGGTATCCATTGAAAGACCCTCCCATGTTAATTGTCAGATGGTGACATGATTAATTACAAACATAAAAATACACTCAATTAAGACAATGATAGGCTGCAGTCCAAAGGGTGCAATTACTTTTATTTCAGATTCTTATGAAGGCTCTGCTTCTGACAGGCAGATTATTGAAAAATCTTGTCTTTTAGAACCCACATTAAAGCTTTTTGAAAAGGGTGATTCCATCATGGCCGATAGAGGCATTATGGTTCAGGACTTATTTGCAAACCAAGATGTTCACATTAATATCCCAACGCTGTTGAAGGGAAAATCCCAATTAGATCCAGGTGAAGTGGTGCATGATAGACGAGTGGCTTCAAAAGGAATTCATATTGAGAGAGTTATCGGGTTGTCAGAAAGTTTCAAAATATTGAAGCTTGGGATTTCTAATAGTAAACTTCAGTTAGGGCCTCGAATCATATTTGTTTGTTTTGCCATATCAAACTTCAGGAGAAATATCGTTCCAAAGTATTCAACATGATCTTAAGTTTTTTTTTTTAAAAAATCCGTTACTCATATGTATTATGTACTGATAATTTGTGGATAAAGTTCGGTTTTACCAGATAGAGATCAAATAGTGTCAAGATAAAATGCTTTGTACGATTCAAGTTTTTGCAGTATTCATTATATGTATAAAAATTATTCATGTTCTTAAGGAAACTCTAAACACTGCACACTGAAGAGTTCCTATTCCGCTGTAGTGTTATGCAGTTAGAGTGATCTGTCCTTTGATGTAAGTACTAAGTAAACATGGAATAAATTGAATTTACAGTAGGGCTGTATCAATATATCGATACGTATCGATATTTAGGAGTGTATCGTATTGAAAAAATAACTTCCAATACGTATCGGACAGGCAGCTTTTCTCATAATTCTGTGAAAAAGTTGGGAATTTCAATCACCAAAGGTTTTATTTTCATTGTTTTGAATTAAAATTGATCAATAATGAGATAAGCATTAAGGAGATAGCACATCTTAGATAAATATTACAAAAATGCATCGACAACTTCATTTTAACATATTGTTTTTACAGTCATAAAAAGTTTGAATTTGAAGTGTAATTTGTAGAGATAGTAAGACAAAACCTTCAAAATGGGATATAAAAACAATTAGTTTTTATAAAATTCATACATTAAATGATTTATAATAAGACTTTTTTGATTGACTTGTTAAAGAATCCAATATATCGGATATCGCATTAAAAAATGTATCGTATCGTATCGAATTTTTTTGCTCAATACACAGCCCTAATCTACAGTAAATGACTCAATTTAAAATAGATTTAAAACTTAAAGTATTCTCCACCTTATATAAGACCAAAATTAAGTAATTGAAAACACATCATTTGCATGTACTTTCTCAGCGAAAGTAATCAACATTAATATCTGTTCCTAAATACTTCATTGAGAACATTTATTCTGGGGAAAAATGGCAGGTATCCTATGTTGAAAATGAACTAGAAAATCTCGGTATGTACACTTGTATGATATGATTTTCTCCAAGCCCCTCCCCCCCTAAAAAAAAATTGAGAAGTGTTTAGAGCTTCCTTAAAAGGCTCAAGAAAGAAAAGAAAACATGTAAAATCCATGCAAAAGTATATATTTTTTGCAGAAGCATCAACTGAATATAATTTTCGGTAAATTTTCAATGTTACCCTCAACTTTTATACAAATACATATAACAGTAAACCATACAAGGCACATAAATTCTGCGCAGTCAACATTTTTTGGAATATCAAGCAATGTTGAAGTTGCTTAGCTGGAGGATGTGGTTTCATCATTCAGATTGTAAAAGTGTTTTTGAGCAAATGTTTCTTGAGAAATCGCTTTCAATTAATTCACATGAAACTATAATATCAAGGAATAATGCATTTCATATTTAGCTAATTGTAACAATTCAGTATTTGAGAGTTGTGAAATGTCAGTATATATTTTAAATTTTCTTTTTTCTTTTAAAGACAAGGTGAAATACAGACTGATATTAATCACATATCTAAAAAATATATTTGTATATAAAACATTTTATGACATGTACCCCTTGATAAAATATTTCCAAATGCAATATACATGTATTGAGACTGTTTGTTAATTACTGATTATTTTCCATAAGTATCTTGACTATTCACCACTATGAATGCCCAATGGACTATTAAAAGTTAGCTTGGTGTAATGTAATACAAATAACATTTCCTTTTAAAACAGTGATGCAACATAACATCTGTAAAACTTTGTGTAAAAAGTTTCAAGCTTAGGAAGGAGACAAGTGTTACAGTATTCTTTGTCAAATGAGATTTTCTGTACAAACAAATCACCTAAGGTGTAAACAACAAAGTAGCATAGAGACCTTTTAGTTACATAAAGCTGGTCTTGTATTTGGTCATAATATTCGCTTGAAGGCTTCAAAACCATATTGCCCTCATCATCATATCTCAAAAATTTGAAATTTTCCCCTGGTTTCACAAGATCATTTCTGCCATTAAATGGACATTTAATTTCTACAATACTACTGTCATCAACAACAGCATCAGGAGAAGCACCTAAATAAGGCCTATCTCAATAAACAAAAAAAAACCACATTTCTTAGCATTTATGTTAAATTTGCTGTTGAATACTTTCAGAGCTTTTGCCTCATAATCTTTTTCCATGTCGCAGAGCTTCACTGTTGATTTTAACATCAGACAATAATGCAGCACACAGCTTCTTGGTATTTCTACGAAAAGTGGCCTTGCATATTTCCCCAAACTTTGATGCCGTTAGACGCTACTTTCTTTCGATGAACCAAATCTGACTTGCACTCTGCTGTCTTGTGGACTCCTCAATCCTTACTACATCAGATTCTGTAACCTATGCATGTGTAAAATTAGGATTAATTTTTAAACAACTAAATCTCATAAGAGTTAGATTTATTTATCAAAATCCATTACACATACCTTTATGGAATTGTCCACCCAGTGCTCAGTAAAAGGCATCTGTCAATAGTCATGGTCTTTGACTGCAGCCTAGAAAAGAAATTTTTTTTTGTCATTTCATTTACTAGTACATTGTTAAGAATGCTACTTTTCAGGAATAAATTTGTTTTTTTATTTCTTTAACATATACATGTGTATATACCTCAATATTTGCCTTCCCACACATGTATCAGAATGAGATATCATTTGAGGACTGCCTGCAATAATTGGTAAGTAAAGATTGTACAAAGTAATTGTAACCAGAACAGTTTCTTCTTTTCTCAGGCCTTGGGTCACTGAGGAAGTCTACAGCTAGCTTTCTCTTGGTTGGCAGCTTTTCAGCTTTGACTGGAGATCCTTGAAAGCACATAACAAATGAAACAAACTGCACTACTTTAAAACATTAAGTCATTTTCTGTGGTTATAAATGAATAATAATGTTTTAAAACTGATAGTTTTAGATACAAAATTCAAAGAAATTAACAGTATCCATATTGTATATGTATTGAATTATTTAGAGGAACAATGAATTACCATCATAGGAGGATTTTGGTTTTGTAAACATCATTAATGTATCAGTGCAAGACTTCCCTAGTTTGAGTTTTCCTGATTCTGCAAACTCTTTTATCATCAGGAGAACTGCAGCAATGTGTCTGCAGCGTCAATGAGGCCCCTTCCCTGCTGGACACTCACAGTGTGTGTTTAAAGGATCTCCAGAATTTTTGTCTTATCTTATCTTGTATATATATGATACCTGTAGCAATTAATATTATTATGAAATGAACAACATCAAGAGCACCAAAGAACACTAACTTTGTGATGTTTTAAAATAATTTCAGTTGTAAACTTGATTTAAAAATCCCAACCTTTTTCTTCATTGCTGCTCCGACAATGCCACTTAGGTAGATGTTATCCCGAATGAATATCGAGCACGCTAAAACTCTGTCACTTTCACACATAAGTTGTCCTTTTGTCACCGACTTTATATCATTTCTTGATTGCCTGTCATCTGAATGAAAGTGATAATGTACATGTATGTATTTTAAGATAAATGATACTTCTGATGATCATGAACTCCAGTGTATCACCTAATAGTTTTAATTTCAGGTGATTAAGGTGGGGGGGGGGAGCCATTATTAAATTTTTTCTTATTCATTTTTATTTTTAAATGAAAATGTATACAGATTTTATCACATGTTTTATCACATGTTTACTCCTTTATTTAGTGGATATAGCTCATATGATATCGTTTTAATATATCAACAGTTGCGACGTCACAATTGTTTTTGTATAAAAGTGATTTTCACATGTAAAAACAGTGTAAAACATGTTATATCCATGTGTAAAACATGTTATATCCATGTGTAAAACATGTTATGGCTATGTGTAAAACATAAAAAGAATCTCTCATTGCTTTGTGGTTGAATATTATTTTTATCCAATAGATATGTGTTTTCTATCCCCTCACCAAGGCTCGGGGATAGAAAACACACAACTGAGTTTCTTGTTGGATAAAAATCATATCCAAACACAAACCATGGGAGATCCTATATGCATGCTAAACTCATTTTACCAGCCATTCTGTAAATAAAGTATGCCTCCATCTGCTCCTTGGATAACTTTTGTAACGTGTTTGCCTAACACGTATATGATTTTCCTCTGGGTCTAGGGCCCCCTCAGATAACTTGCTGAGGTATTTGATTGTTTGTGTACTGACTCATTGTTTTTATTCAGCATCGACGTAGTAAAAGACTGTTAATTACAAAAAAGGTTATAAGAAATTACATACAAAATGATCGACTTAAAACATTGACTCTATTATGCTACATTTATGACCAAACCGGGTTTCCATACTTTTTTTTCTTTTAACAGCAATCAACTTATAAGCAATAAAACTAGCATGTAATAATAATTCAGCAAGAAATCAACAAATTATCCTTACAAATTCACATATACAAGTATAACATAGTGACTAGATTGTATAAATCTCAGAAAATGATTTGACACAAACCACGTGCTTAGCCTTACACAAAAAACCAGGTCATGTTAACCATACGTAGATAATGCTTTAAATTACTGAAATATTTGACAATAAAGGTTTGCGTTCTAACACATGAATATTAAGATCTTATGTTTATAACTTATGAAAGTGTACTTACGCTATAGGGCTACAAAGTCACAAAATCTAGTAACACTTTTGCACATGTACAAATATGGCGCTTGCCAAAACTACGGGAAGTAACTCTTCTAACAAACAAAACAAAAGTTAATTCATACATAGTTGATTCGGAGACATTACACTCCCCGCCTAATGTCTGAAAGATATTACAATTTACAAAGACATTCTCAAGCAACGTTTTCAAATGTTTGTCTTAGTCAATCAAGATAACAAGTTCTGTAATAGGGCGGATATATGTTGTTGGCTTACCATCCTTGATAATGCTCACCTCAACTGTTCTTACTCTGTGGTCACACTCACTTTTAAAGACATTCACGATCAGTCCAAGTGGCCACTGTCCACGGTGGGCTTCTTTGTCGCGCAAAAGAACAACATCACCAACCTTTACATCAGGACGTTCAGTCTGCCACTTACGTCGCACTTGGAGTTGCTTCCTCCAATGCTTCCAGAAGATATCCGACAGGCACTGCACATGTTTCCACTGTTTCCTGTATATTTCCTTCATGTCAGATGAGCTAACAGGATGAATATCAGGAAATTCCTTCTGAGTAAGTACAGTACCCGCATCGTTATTCTTTACAGGATACACGATACGATAGGATACACGCACGACACGATAGGATAAACGCACGGAACGATAGGATACACGCACGATAGGATCGGATACACGCACGATAGGATAAACGCAAAACACGATAAACGCAAAATACGATAAACGCAAAACACGATAGACCTGATAAACGATCTTCACGATAGGATAAACGCAAAACCTGATAGGATTGTTTCAAAATGCGAAACGTATTTTGACAAGACGAATTGTTTCCTTTTAGATGCACTGAAGTATGATGATTTTAATTATTTACAAAGCCGCAAATTTAAATGATTAAATATATTAAATGTATTATGATTAAACATTTGAGGTAACTCTGCTTTGTACAAGAAACATGTTTATTTTTTGTCAATAATGGATCGTCACCAAATTCAAACTGTAATTATTTTAGATAAATTGCACTCTGTGGTGGAAATTATGCGGTTGTTTGTATAATTATTCACATGTCGAAATTCCCTCGAATCGTTAAACTTGAATTTTATTTAGTCGTTTAATAACACAGATTTTAATGATGGTGGCTTTTACGTTTTACAACCAGGTGCAATTATTCATGAAACGCTATAAATATACTAGTATTCAGTATTTTAACAAATAAAACCTCATAAATGTATTATCAAATACATGTATTAAGTATATCCGGAAGAACTCTTTGTAATAAATGAAATATTTGGATTCAATATCTTCTGCTAGAAGTCTGTGATGTATCCAAAATCGCATTGATTTTAATAATCGGTATTTAATAATTCAAATCTTACGAAAATAATTTACTAGTCAGTTTAGGGGAAAAAATATAATTTAAAAAAATACATTTTAAAGTTAACGCTGTCTCCTCAAAGCTTTTATGAATTTTCTTTAATTTATATTATTTTTTTTTTTACGTTTTAAACATGTTACTTGCTGAAATATTCTAGTTGCGTTGACACAGGCTGTGCACTGGACTGTGATTATATAATCTATAATCTCTTCTATATAAATATACATGTATATGTCACAAATATATATCAGGTAAACATAGAAAATTAATCATTTACATATTCCAAGTACATACATTGTATGATAACGGCCGAAAGAAATCGAATTTAATAAAATTAATAACCGTCATTAGATCATCTAATATCCGAAAAGAATATCTCATTTCCATTCTTTTGTATTTATTCTCTGGTATTTCCAATGTCAGAGGCCTGTATAGGACCCAGAAGGTAGAACGCAGTCGTGTACCTAAAAAATGCTACGGTGTACCAACATGTGTAGTATAGAGTAAAAATATAATGCTTATATAATATCGCCCATCAACAATAATTTTTTAGCCTTCTTTTGATTGCTTTTCAAAACATTTCTTTTTAGACCCCCCCCCCCCCGCCCCTAAAGAAATGAAAATCCTTTCTACACAAGCCTCCCCCAACTGCTTTTCCGCGAATTCATTTTTGCAACCTGTCTGCTTTTCCGCGACTACTCCATACTGCATTTCCGCATTTGAATTTTACTATCAGTTGTATTTTTTCGATATTTCCTTTAAATTGTACATCAAACTGTTGCCGATATTTACCCAGATTATCATGTATCTCCCTATAAAGTTCTACTCGACAGTAGCACACTGTGATAAAATTTGAATGAACCACTCACTACACTGGTCGGTGATGTTTTAGATGCCATGGAAATTGTTCATAACAAACCAAATCGTGGTAACAAATATATTACAAACGATGTATTTACGTAAAGAAAGGTCAATGTTTTAAATAATGGCGATGTGTCTTACCGATAAACATAAAATAATTATGCAAAGCCACAATTACAACCGATGCAAAAGACTGCCGAGATAGAAACACAAAGAATGCTGACAACAATCTCAGTAAAAACAAAAAAAAAAAAGATTGACTGAAGCCGTTGATAGCATGTAGAAAGAGTTTTTACCTGACTAATGGAAGGGGTAAGTGCTAAAATAAATCGCAGAAAAGCAAAAAATATAATTGCCGAAAAACAGTATAATTTGTCGCGGAAAAGCAGGATTCTTTTCGCGGAAAAGCTGGTTATAAATATTCACATTAACAGAATTTATATCTACCATACATACAGCTACGTGTATGCTAAGCTTATTCACATACAAATAAATAATAATGTAAAATAAATTTCCACAATATGATAAGGAGGTTTTCGGACTGAATAATTGTAAATCATTTCTATTAGACTTTGTATTAATTGTTACTACACTTATATATGACTATATCGGCAAAATAAAACAAAACTTTGTAAATTATGAAAGTCTTAATCCCACCTGAGGCACAGTCACCGGGGGGGGGGGGGGGGGGGGTGCACATACCACTCAAATAAAAAAAAGATCCGATTCAAAAAGCAAAAAAAAAAAAACAAAAAAAAAAGGAATATATATATTGACTTCTTGAATATAGTCAAGTATTACATGTACATGTAATCGATAAACGCTAATAAAATCAAATTCAAGGCATTTACACGTCTTGTGTATCGAAGCAAAACCGGGCGATTTTACATAAATTTTTACATATATCTTTTGAGGGGCCTTTAATAGCGTAAAAAATCATGCGAGGCAAAGTTCGTATTTTTCTATTAGAGTTATTTACCATATTCTTCGATTAATATTTTATTTTCAATTTGATCAGATCAATCATGTTTAAGACTGTAAACAAATAAGAAGTAAATAAAAGTATACAAATGAATTAAATCAATGGAAGGTTGGGACAAATCTCGCCTATATTTCATTTGATTCATTCATTCAGTTTTTAATTAGTAACTGAAGTGTACATTTTCTTATTTTCTTAGTACAGTGTATAAAATCTTTAAGTGTTGTTTATACAAATTATGAACATTATCACATTATTCAGAAAATGAGTTGATGCATTATATTGATACCCAGTAGGGTTCAAGGTTAATACTTGACACCAGGTGGGAGAGCAGTTCAGGTATGTTGACGTTGAATACACACGGGCCGAGGTGTCATGTAGGGGTGGGGGGTTGTGTCTTGACCTGACAGGGAGACAGTGTACTGATTAGGCAGGTACATATAGCTGTCAGTTCTCATGGTACGGGAGCGCTTCCGTCTGTCAGTTGCAGTATATACCCAGTTCATTTCCACGCCGAAATAGGTAAGATGTATACTTATTTTTTTTCCCCATTTTCTAAAG